GACCGCTCACAGAGCCAGGTTTAGTTCACAGCGTCCACATATAAAAGTAGTCATGGCACAACGTCTTCCCAGTCTTTAGGTTATGATCCAGCCAGGGGAAAGGAGAAGCAACATAAAACCAGGTGTTAACAATCAGAATTTTAAACTTAGCCCGGTCCCCTATGATCACTACCAGCATCTAAAACCAAATCACAAATTACACACAAATGTTCACAAAGGCGGTAGAGGCGAGCTGCCTATCATGTCAGCCGCCACTAATGATGTGTGGCTGGGCTCTTAAACTCTCTTCCTCTGATGCTTAAACGTCTGCAGCTGTGGTAAGGACTCGCAGGATCATTGCCGCACCAATAGGAGAAGCCGGCTGTGTTGGAGGCTCCTCCTCTCTCCTCCGACCAACCCCATTACGTAGTTCGTGCAGGCTGATTAGCATAGACAAAACACACTTTAAAATCCAGGTGAACATATTTTTATATCATGCAGAAAGTTAAACAAGAGCAGAACTGATGACATAATTACGGAAGATTGCGCCAGTAGAGGATAACATTAAAAGTACTTGAACATTCCTGGAGAACTTTTGAATGTGCCTGCTGCTCGGTGCGTGTACTTCATTCCTCACGTTTCAATCTGTACAAAAGACGTTACTTTCGGTTTCATTCATGTCTAGAGACTTATCCTGACGCTGACCTCGGTCACTGCGGCTGTTCCTCAAAAAGCCTTTTGAAGCTGTCACGACTGGCCACAATAACCTCACACTGATGGTTTCAAACACAAATTTGTCCCAACCATAGCAAGACATGTATACACACGTACATGCACTTACAGAAGTTGATCTGCAATAAAGCTATACCACTATATGCCCATATAGATGATAGCTGAGTCATTCTGTGAAGCAGGTGCCATTTGGGTCTGCAACATTAGATGAGATGCATATGGCACAAAAATGTGCAAAAGTGTGTTTCCAAAAGTTAAAACCATTAAGTCAAGTACTCTTGCCATGATGTTAAATGAGAAAATACTGCTTACAAAGACCAACATACCATTCTTAGCCATTTTTCCTTAGAACATGGCAATTTTCACATGTCCATATGAAACAACTTGACATTTGTATCTAAAATATCACCAATAAATGTAATGTTTCTTATCAAACCTTTATTATTGTCAGGATTATATGTGTGTTCCTATTTACATGAGATATTTATTTTTAATCAAAAAATTCTTTTTTGTAAAAATGATTTACCGCCCTGTCACACTAACATATTTTGTCTATAAACAATATACTGTTTCTTTTAACGGACATCACAAAGAGGAAGTGACATCAAATGTCTAAACAGATGGTCTGTCCTCTCATCAGAGGAAGCTGAACTGGAAGTGGTTTTCTGGCATCATCATCATCATCATCATCATCATCATCATCATCATCATCATCATCATCACAGCCCATTTGAGAACTAAGGATGTCCGTGCAGTCTCCTTTGTCCATACATGAGGTCCTCCTTCTGTGGGCACCAGTCATTCAGTTTTCAGTGTGGATTCCTTTGAATGACAGTAAAAGACAAACACTTTAGTTCAGACATGGTGGATCACAGTTAATCACACACATATACCAGCTGTCAGGACAGGTGCATGAATACCTGCTTCAGTTGAGGACTCCTGTGTATGAATTTACAGTATTAAATGACAAACCCCCACAAGATAATGTTCTAGTATACATTGTGTATTGTACTCAATACGATACCAGCGAGAAGAGGACACAGAAAATAAGTTAATTAGATAAACCTGAATGTTTTGCTGCATGTGGGAAAATTCTATCAGCGACTGACTTTTTCTAATAACATGAGAGTGAGATAAGTTAAACTATATTATCTATTATATATCCTTGTCCTGCAAATATTTACATGCTTGGGACCAGGTACGGTTAGCATAACAAACACTAAGTTACCTGCTAGCTAGCTAGCTAGGTTAGCAAAGTGTTAACAGTCTCCGTTCTCCGGTCAAAGAACGTAGGGAAAAAACGCACTAGCTTTTTCACTAGCATCATACACATTAAAACTGTAGGACGTTCAGAAAATAAACATTTACTTACCGAAAAAAACTGTATATCATCATCATCTCTCCAGTTTGTTAGTGACGAAGAATGAGCCATAATTACTGTGAACCGAAAACTCATTAAAACTAAATAACTAACAGCAAAACTGTCAGTGCTAAATTATTCTTCCACGGACAAATATTGAGAAAAATAATATTCAACACAACTGATTCAATAGGAAACGCTCACGACCCAAGCTCTCCTCCGGTGACTGATCCTGCGGTGATCGACCTCCCGGCCTGCCGCGTCATCTGATCAAGCATTGCAGACAAGGTATATCAATCAAACAGCCACGCCCCCAAAAATACCTGTTTTTATCTAGCTAATTAATTAGATGATTATTTTCAGATGGACCACCAGAACACTGAACAAGAAGTGTGTCAAAACTCAATGAATACTGCAATACCCAATTCTTCTTATTGCCCAGTATACTCAGACAGTTTTTAATGGCAGATAGAAATATTTTCAGAAGTTAAAGTTAATTATTGATTTTTTTTCTATGCAGGAACAAAAAGTGAAAAAACCGAAAACTCATTAAAACTAAATAACTTAACAGCAAAACTGTCAGTGCTAAATTATTCTTCCAGTGCAGCTCTCCCTCCCCTCCATCCTCCTCCCTGTCATTGACAGCGTTGGTCTCTAGAGGTAAACCCCGCCTCCAAACAAGACCCCGCCCCTCCACTGACAGGAAAATTCAGTTAATGTTGCTATAGTAACCATGCCACTTCCTCTCAACCAGGCCTGTACCACTCCCTCTTCACATCAGGGATGCTGTCTCACACACACACACAAACACACACACACAGTATGATATTAAAAACACAAGAGCCAGGAGTCATTTTCTTTCCAACACTTTCATTATTTTCTCCACATAACTCAAAAACAAAACAGAGTAATTCCCAGAAACATAAAGAAAGAAAGAAAGAAAGAAAGAAAGAAAGAAAGAAAGAAAGAAAGAAAGAAAGAAAGAGGAGAGTCAAACTATAGAGAGAGAGCTTGGCATGCTGTAGCATGCTGCGGGCTAACAGGGTGGCGCAGGGCATCGTCACCAGGCTGATGGCATACAGCAGAGCTTCTTGAACCTGTTTCTGTCTGGGACCCAAGATGAAATAAAAATATACTGTTCTGCCTCTCAGGGTGCAGGCACATTATAGACTGAATTTTTGTAATAATGTGGGGAAACACCAGAAATGAACCTACTGCTGAGTTTGAGTTCCGATCCATAGTTTGAGAAACGCTGTAAAACAACAGCAATATACTCCCTGCCCCCCTGTAAGTTGTTACCAATGGCAACAGGCTCAGCCATCCCATCCCATCACGTGAAAGGAGGAAGATGCACACACATGTTCACACACTCCGATGAGCATTCATGTGCACACACGCAAACAAACACAGAGGTTGGTCTGCGAGATGGGTTCGAGAGACACGGAAGAATCCGGTGTTTTCAGTTGACCATGGAAACAGACAAAGTGTTATTGGTATTTCTGACTGTCCTTTAGTCACTGAGGGTCTTGGATCGGTGGAGGAGAAGCTGAGGAATGGAGGCAGTAAATCCTGACATCGATCCTGGCCACTGCTGCCTACTATGCTAAAACAGTCTTCCACCATTTCACTAAATTTCTCTCAGAAAGTTTGTTCAGTTCTGCATGGAGTATCACTTAGCCCCACATAGAGACTTCATTTGATTTCTGGCATCTGCTGTTTTCCTCAGCCCTTTTTGCCAAATAGGCCGTTCTCCAGGCACTGCTCCTATCAAAACCTAACATGTCGCATGTGCTTCTGAAGCTCTTTTTTGCTTTCAGATTCAATGCACAACTAAGATATTACAGTACATATGCATGCATTGTTTTGTTGTTGTATTTGCGCTACAAAAGCAAGGCAGGTGGCGACTAGTATTTTTTTTCAGACATCTTATGCAAGTATAGTATAAAAGATGTTGTTGTCTTCAGGTTAAGTTTTGAGAGAAGCAGTGGGAGACACTGATTTATCAATATCATTTTGTCTTTTAAGCCATATTTGTGGTGTTATCCACACTTCACTGAAGGCGGTATTTCCTCTAAATACTTCTGCTGGTGGTACGGTAGGCGCAGGCCTCTGCCAAGGACGGTCATCCTTGAACTACCACCAACTCAGAGGAAGCTCCATCCTCTGACTGCTGTGTGTGGAGGAGGGAGAGAGTAGGAGGGAGAGACTGAGAGAGCACAGCTGTCAGCTGATGCTAGTAGGCTAGATGTGGATGAGCAGTGACTGAGTCCTCATGAGATGCTCTTGTAAAGTTCATGAACAGCGTGAAAGGCCACTGAGCTACTTGGAGACCACGCACGCACACATACACTGATGGAAAAGACATCGAAGGTTGTTACAGACGCAAACACACTCACATTCTGCACAAAAACCATTTACACCTATGTACACTGCCGACACACTGTATATACAGTATGCACACAAGCATGCACTCATTTGTTCAGGAGACAGACATCAGAGCGAGGACAGATGAATCAGAGGGATAGGGTAGATGCAATGAGTGTGTTTTTGTGTGTGTGTGTGTGTGTGTGTGTGTGTGTGTGTGTGTGTCTGTGTGTGTGTGTGTATGTGTGTGTGTGTGTGTGTGTGTGTGTGTGTGTGTGGGAGCTAGCAACCAAGCATGTATCCAGGCAGCGCACACTTGGCAGTTTAAGCAACACAGACACACACAGACCTCGAACCATCAGTAACAACACCTGGGCAGGCACCTGGGCAGGTGGAGGAACCAAAAGGCAGGAGTTATATAAAGAGGGGTGGAGGGTTACAAAATAAAGAATATATCCATCAACGTATTGTACATGAGAGAAAATGTTAATAAATAAATTCAAAGTTACAAATCTGTTGAAAACTATGATTTGAAGATGAAAAAGTCTGTCTCGTCAGTCCTGTCTGTAGACAGTGGAAGCAGACATCTTGCTGTAATGCCAGCTGCATCTCTCATGGCCTGAGAATCAGACCGCTTCAGCCCACTTGAGTCCGGTTTCTGGACTATATTATCTCCCTCTGATCCGGTTTCCTGGACTGGTTCACCCCTCTTTCGTCCACTTCTTTGGGCTACGCACTTTAGCATCTCTGTCACTACAACAACTGGACCAAGCTTATCCAAGGTTAGCCCCGGGTTAGCCACCGTTAGCCCAAGTGATGGTGGAACCCTCCTTGGTGCTAGTCTTTCTCGAGCCAGGTCAGTCCTCTCACCAGGAACACGAAGGGGCAGCAGGTTTGTCATAATACTCATATGAATTTATAGTTGTTGTAGCATAGATAGGCCGACTCTGAAAGCAGTGCTGTCTTTAAATAAAAAAGTGGATAAATAAAATAGCCACTCCAATGTTGAGCAGAATCACCATGGCAACCAGGATAGAGCTGTAGGCCTGCGTGGGAGAGAGAGAGAGAGAGAGAAAAGGGGAGCATGTCAATAATAAGGACACACACACACACACACACACACACACACACAGAGAAAGCTGTTTTCACACATACATTATATCTAACCTGTACAATACATACAAATGTACACAAGCGTTTAAATTCACCCACTTACCTTTCAAACAACAACCAATACATTTGTTATTACAGCAGCTTGTCATCAATACACCAACAAACATGATATACAGCACAAGCAGCGTATTTAAAGAGAAAGCAAAGGGGAACACAAACTTCTAAACCAATGGTTGTGTGTAGGTGGTGAGGTGGGAGTTTTAATGCAATTTAAAGGATAAAACCACCGTTTTTAACATAAAGGTCAACGACTCTCCTATTTTATCACCATATTCCTATGAAATTGTTGGTGATTTTTAATGTCACATTCATTGGACTGTGCATAACTGCATGTGCATCAATCATTGCACTGCTGTCAGGTGGATTCTGGTAACTGTCACTTCAGCTGGAGGAGGCTATTTTACTAGTTCAGAAAATCCCACAGCCCTGGGGTCTATAAAACCTTTTTTAAAAAAAAACAAAAAAAACAAATGAACTCAAACGCACGGGTGTCAAGTTGAATATAATTCTGTTACATTTTGAAGATGTAAGGTTTTCACCTGACAGCCACAATATTCTCCTGTATTTTAAGCTAGTGACACTGGAGCCTGTTACCAGCTGATTTCAGCCACAGTGTGGTTGATGTTCAGAGGAAACCTGTCTTTCTGAGGATATGAACAAAATCTCCCTACATTACCAATGAACCATGTGTGGCCACTGCATCTATCAGGGCCTGCATTTATCCCATTTAGGATAAGAAATAAGACACATAACGTGACTGAAGTAACTTTTAACAGCAGCTTTCGTGATTAATGCTCAGAGCAGCAATAGCCGATCAGAGAACAGGATTTAACTTACATCTGCCCCAAAGTTCATACTTCAAAATCTCACAATTCACTCATTTTTCTGCAACAACACATCTAATTCTAATTTGTGTCAAATCTCCAACAGCAATTAACATGTGAAAGTAACAACAATCTAATGTATTTAAAAAATGTATGGATTCATGCAGTAAACAAACAGGGATGAAATTGGCTGATGTGGAAATAAAAACAAAAACAAAATGGAGCAGGAAAGAAATCCTTCTTCTTGCATAAGCGGTGCATCAGAGACATCATGAGAGATATCACAATAAGGAGAATTTAGTACCACATTGCCACTGACAAATCAGTGCCAGCTTAATTTGTGGTGTTTGCGCCCATGATAAAGGTTCAAATCAACGGCAAATCAGCTTCAACACATATTGCTTCTATTAACATATTATTTATCGTGACCAATAATATTTTGTGCAATCACTTCCAAAAATGTCTGAGAAGGTATGTGATCACTCTCAGATCTACTCTTAGCTTCTTCTGAACTTCTGGAGTTGTTTTACCTTCAATACAACTTGTAAGATGTAATCAATTAAGTTGTTCTTCCTTCACTTAAGTGTAAAATTTCACATTTAGCAGTTTGATAAACACGAGCTCTTTCTGGAAACTCATGACATAATAAAAATCTCCACATCGAACACAGTATATGGAAAGTACATGAAAAAATGACCCAGCAGCATGTATGCAGTGCAGTGATGAAGGAGCAATTTGCAGCTAAATTCAAATAATACGATCCAGTGTCGATCCCATAGGGAAGCCCACCTCCTCTGACAGAGTAAGGTCAGAGGTCAAGCCTGGCTGTAGCACAGCAGCATGGAGCTGGTGGGGAGTCAGTGTCTTGCTCAATGACACTTCAGCAGATGCTTGCTGACAACCTGGGTCATGTGGGTGAAGGCCAGTCGTTCTGACCACCTGTCCACTGGATAAATATGTGAAAGTGAATCTAGTATATTCACTGACATCGTCATCGATGCAGCAGCTTTTCTTTTTTTTTTTTTTAACCCCTGTGTAGAATTTTACTGGATTTAACATAGAGTATATTTTGGTCTTACTAAAGGATTAATCAAAAGAGGAGGTGCAGATGACCTATGTTTTTAATTAAGTCTACCTCTAAAATAATTTTCACAATAGCTGCAGTGGGAGAGGGAAAATGGGACTCCGAGTAACACTACACACTGATATGAAGCTGCATCGGTGCAACATTGTTGTAAATGAATCTCTCCAGAGTGGCTGCTAACAAGGTTTCTGCTGATCAACTGGGTGATAGGCTTATCCCAGATCTGTGTCATAGTGATTACCAGACCACAGATGATGAAATCCTCTGATCATCCACCTTTTCTACCTCTATTTAGTAAGATTTTTTTTTTTTTTTTATGTTGCAACACGCTGATATTTATACCCTTTCTGAGGTTTTCACACTGAATTTCTACCTCAGACAAGTGGTTGGTTCATTACTGAGTAATTATAATAATAGTTTGACATTTTGGAAAATGCTCTTATTTTCCTTCTTGCCCAGAGTTAGAAGATTGATGTTTTGCTGTTCAATGTTTTATTGTAATCATTAAAGGAGCTAATTGTAAGTTTTGCTATCGCCACATAGTCAACATTAGCATTAACAGCTGCTTCCTTGCCAATGTAGAAGAAATGATGCAAGTTCAGCATCAAACTTGATTCCTTTACTCGCTGTCTCCAGTGGTGCAAAGCAACGCTTTTGTTTTGCTTCTATTTCAATCACTTCTCTTCTACCTACTTTAGTTAGCATGCTAACCAGCTAGCCCTGGCCTGGTTGGCCTGTCTCATCCTGCCCTGAAGATGTAGCGCTGCTCAGAGGGTGTATTATAACCTCTTGTCTTGTAAACGCCACGATGCTTTAAACCTTTGGCAAGACTGGTAAGAAAACAGCTGCCTTAGAGGTGTTATATGGGGGATTTTCTTACCTCTGGACAGAGCTGGGCTAGCTTTTTCCCTCTGCTACCACTCTTCATGCTAAGCTAAGCTAAGTTAAGCAACTGCTGGCTGTAGTGGATGGTGTTCTGATATTACTTAAATCTCTTTAGGGGAAATAAAGTGAGGTGTGGCAGTTTATGTTGATGCATTTTAAACACATCTATCGTTGCCTTTTATAAATCTGAAATGTATTTATATATACCTGTTTCACAGTAATGCATTTTTATACTGATCTATTTCACTTTTTAGTGCAGCACTCTGACAGCCATATATGCTACAATCATTTCTTTAATCCTCAAGTATGACTTGACAGACTTGCCACTAAAAATGCTGAAGTCACAACTACTACTAGTTTTTGATAACAGTTATTTACCTCTTCTACAGCAGAGCTGGTTTATTCTTAATCCTCCTGGTGTGTAAATCCTGCAAATGCACAGAGCATCGTGCAGCCCCCCTCAGGGATAGCAAAGGTCAGGTTAAGTATGATCACAGTACAAAATGTGTGAGCCCTCCCCCCTTTGGTTTCCTTTTCACTTTACCTGAATCTACTGTGAACCATTTTGCTGTCATTAACTTAATCTCTGCACCAGCTCGCTTGACCCCACCAAACACCTTTTATAACAGAATGCACATTATCCTGAGGATGAAGTGCTGGCAGAGAACAAATCATTTTTCTGCCTACTGACATCTTCCCCTGGGCACAGACAACTTACACTGTGAAGCATCCTTTAAAGAGAGGTAACACATATTCTTTTTCAAACATTTATAAAATAAAATCATCATGAAGTTAGTTTTAAAAGCTACAGTTTACCTTAATCAATATGTTTTATATTAATAATGAATCAAATGACTGAGTGATATGAAAAGGATTAGTCACTGTGACAAACCCACAGAAAATTACCTCCCAGCTCTGCAGCTATTTTAGCTAGCTTTGTTTCATGGACACCTTTATCGCCCTTACTACTTCCAGCTGCAGCAGGCAGATGTTTTCAGCAAACAAGCTCTGGTAAACAAATTGTGCTCCACCTGCCCAGCATCACATGGCAGATCTAGATATTAGAGACCAAAGCAGAGCTAAAGGGATAGTGAATAATGGACTTACATACATGTGGCCAAGTCCAAATTAATGTTAATGTTGTGTTATGTCTGTTGAATTGTTGGCATGTTAGCTAACCATCTGCCTTACACACATACAGAGATCGTGCCTTACTGGTAAACTAGATAAGTGTATTCATCACACAACAACAACAATTCCGAATAATTAAAGCAGAGGATTAGAAACAGATGTTGTACAGTGACTTAAAATCCTTGACATAAAAACATCAAGCCCCGATCGAGTAACCTTGGAGTCCTTTCTGATCCTCATCTGAATTTTGAAGCTCACATATAAAATATCACCAACACTGCCTCTTTTATCATCTTAGGAAATACTGCAAAGATACAGCCATATCTCTCCCACGCAGATACCGAGAGACCCACGCATGCTTTTATCACTATCGGGTTTGACTACTGTGCTGTAATGCTTTCTTTTGTGGCCTACCCATGAAAGCTTTAGATAAACTGCAGAGCGGCCAAAACGCAGAAGCATGTGTGCTGACCAGTATGAGAGGACCACATACACACACACACACATGCAAACACACACACCTGTTTTAAAGTCTCTCTGGTAACAGATTCCTCTTTGTACATTTTAAGATTCTGCTGTTAAAAGGGGAGTTTTTCTTTGACACTTTCACCAAGTGCTCGCTCATGGAGGGATGTTGGGTCTCTGTAATCATTATTATAAAGAGTACGGTCTAGACCTGCTCTATATGAAAAGTGAGATAACTGTTCCATGATTTTCCACTAGGACTGATGGAGACGCAGGTTTTTGTGTGTATCATCACATAGTCACAGGTTTATCTGCTCATCAATTCTTCATATTTAAATGATATTTTAATTTCTTTACTTTCTTGATCGTGTTGTCATCGTGCTGAGATTTGTTATTGCGGGCCATGAAAGGTTCGGTCGCCTCGGGACACATCTTCCTATAAATACGAGCCTTTGGGATGCACAGAGGTTCGTTTCTATGTTCCATGATGACGACTAGCTGATGTCTTTGAGTGGACACAGAGGTACAGTTCTATTTTGGAACAGAGTTTTCATGCTACACTGGGTACAATAAAAGAGTAATCCTTCTGTTGTTTCTGCATAATGAGCAATCTTACACGAAAGACGCAATATGAATAAAGCTCAACTGATGGATAGATTTAGAGGACCAGTGTTTGTGTGTGTGTGTGTGTGTGTGTGTGTGTGTGTGTGTGTGTGTGTGTGTGTGTGTGTGTGTGTGTGTGTGTGTGTGTGTGTGTGTGTGTGTGTGTGTGCGTGTGGCTGTGCACATGTGTCAGAGCAACCCCAGTGTTCCCACGGGTTTTGCAGCGCACGCCGTGTGTATATTTATCTGAGTGTGATAGTATCTGTGTATGCTGTGAACCTGTCTTACACAAATCTCACTTTCTTCTCTGCGGCTGCAAACACACACACACACACACACACACACACACACACACACACACACACACACACACACACAAGCACCCCACCTCCACTCACCCCCACCCCCCCTGTCACTGACACACACCCACCGATTGGCCACTGTTGAAGCAAGGCATAAGCTGTTCCCTAGCAACAGAGCACTGGTTAACCAATAGGGGGCCTTCTGTGAGGAAGGGGCTAGTTTGCCAATCTGCTGTTACTAAGGTGCAGAGAGGACCGCTGAGGTTCTCTCCCCGCCTGTATGTCTGTGTGTGTGTCTGTGCGTGTGTGTGTGTGTGTGTGTGTGTTTGTGTATGTTTAAGGCTTCATGTTTTCATGTAGCTGCCAAATACCTTAATTCAGAGTCATCGCACAGTTTCAGACAAATTTGTATGAAAGTGAGCAAGTTGTGTGAGGAGTATGAAACTGCATGTAACAGTTTACACATGTATAGTGTGTGTCTGTGTGTGTGTGTGTGTGTGAGAGAGAGAGAGAGAGAGAGAGAGAGAGAGAAAGAGAGAGAGCGCTTGTATTCAGTGTATGTCTGTAGCGTACGATGTGTGGTTTTCACTCGCTACTGATTTTCCTGTTGGTTTCATTAGCTAATGCCGCTGCCGTATTATCATCCAGGATTAGTGTGGTTAGGGCCATCCACCAGCGTGAGTCAAGACGTAGCCAAAAAATTATATTATAACAGCGTAATCCCCTCTGCTTGCTCATAGGACAAAAAAAAATCTTTCTTTATTTCACAAGGTTAAACCTTGTGCCTCTCCCCCAGGATTATCTTAATATGTGGGATAACATTGTGTTATGTCACTGGGGATGGGATGTATCCTCATGACAGTGGGCAACAAATCCTTTTAGTCAAATCAATGTGTGGCAGTGACATGACAGATATGACAAATGCACTGTACACTGCTGTCCAGTGAGACATAAAGGCCAAACAAAGCCATGCAGAGGTCTGAACTACTAAAACTTAAAGCTGCTATCATCGATATTTGCATATTTTTAACGACGGATAAAATGGCACGTAAAGAGAAGTATGATGCTCGTAGTGGGGAACCAAGAGAATTATCAACTGACTCTGCAGTTCTTCTCAGTTCTACAGAGTTTTATGGCGATTTCAACTTATTGCTGCAGTTTAACGGAACTGAAACTTCAATGTTTCAGTTCACTCTCATCAGGGTTTCCAGCTGGCAGCTGTTTTCAACAAGAACAAAAAAAGAAAAAACGCTGATAAACCCACTGCCACTACCTGCCCAGCACCACCTGGCAGCTAGATGGTGAACATAATGGAGAATTTAGCCGTTGAAGAGCCAGATATTTCCCTTTCCCAAAACAGAGCACAAAGTAGAGAGAATATTGGACTTAGATTCATCATGTTGCCAGAAACACAACTATAAATGAATGCTAATTTTTCTACATCTAATTTTTTGGTTTAGGGTTGTCTTTCTTGGTTTCCAGTGAAGGAAAATTGAATTAGCACACAATTGTATTTTCTGCAGTAGCGTACTTCTAACTTTGTGGCAACATTTCGGTGACGGCTCTTTTCCTGCTTCAACATGACATTGACCCCCGTCCATAAAGAAATGGTTTTCATAGTTTGGTGTGGAAGAACTTGACTGGCCTGCACAAAGCCCTGAGCTCGACCCCATCAAGCCGATCTTACGAATGCTGTTGTGGCTGAATGGGAGCAAATCCCCGCAGCCAGGTTCTAAAATCTGGCGAAAAGCCTTCCCAGAAAAGTGGAGGCTGTTGCAGCAGCAGATTATTGCTCGCGGTTTTCAGAATAACATGGTCATCAGTCATAAATGGGTCAATCATAAATGGTGCAATGTTCCAGTGCCTACATGCTTTAGGCCATATCTTGTAGCGTGATCAGTAAAATGTTCACTTTTTACTGACTATTCCTAATAATATGCCAAACTTGTAGAGAACATTTACATCTAGCATATACAGAGCAACATGATCATTCATTCAGAGGTGTGTTTATGTGCACCTGTCCAATGTATATCCAATATTAACTCTCCTTGTAGCTCTGTTTTTGATCTTCACCAACTTCACTTGAGGGAAATCTCTGACTCTGCAGCTGCTAAATGCTCCTCTACATTCACCAGCTGCAGTTGAAAATATGTGATTAATTTTTTTTGGTTATATTTCGGTAGCTGTGATAAACTTAAAAGAAATAAAAACAACTTCACTGTGGAAGAACTTTTGATCCTCAGGAAATTGCCTCTTGACCCTCTCCACAGGGAGGTCAGAGGTGAGACTCAGCTATAGATGCACTGCCTGTGTCTGTCTGCACTGACGGACACCTCAGCAGAGTGGAAGCTGTTTGTTTGGCCCTCTGCTCGTGCTGTGCCGAAGCGCTACCCACAACAGTACACCCAAAAAAACTATTTAATCCTCTAATCCTCTAGGCTGTGGTTTTAAACCAGGAAATTTTCACAGGGTTGAGAGTTTTGTTGTTGTATTTTGTGTCAACAGGCACATAATTGTAGCAGCGTTACACATCACATTAACACAGATTAAAAGCTACAAAAGTCAACTTTGCACCAATTGAATGTTTGTAGGAATAGAAATGTTAGACTGTTTATTTACAGAGGGTGGGGACATTCAGTCCCAGTCATCACCAGTTTTATGAAACACAAATGTTGCCTTGTGCAGCTTTAAACTTGCCTCTCAGACTGGGTTAAGTGTGTGTTTGTGTGGTGTTAGTCAGCGCAGTGTGAGTCTTACCGAGCTGCCTTTGCTCTGCGTGAGGCTGTGGTCCTGCTGCTCCGGTGTGATGGGTGAGGACTTCAGAGGGGGGGAGAGGGTGAGGTCCCGGCGCAGAGGCCGTGAATCCATCTTCTCCCCCGGTCTGTCCAGCTTGTGCACTGAGTCTTTACCCCCCTCTTTCCCCTCTCTTCCTTCCCTCCCTTCCCTCCCATCACGGTTCTTGTGTCTCTGTCGCTGCACAGCGTGTGAGCGCCCCTCTCCGTGAGCGTGACTGTGCCCGTGCCTCTCCTCCCCGTGCCCATGGGGCTTATGGGTAGTGGAGTCTCTGGGCTGTAAAGGCTTCATCTCCATCTCGTAGTTGCTAATTTTCTCCTCGTCCTGCTCCAGCAGCCGACCTCCCCTGCCGTGCACACCCCTGTGCCCGGACGTCCAGGAGGCAGATGAGGACGACTCCGTCCACCTGTCCCCTCTGGCCTGTCTGTGATTGGATGAGCCGTGCTCCCGTGATTTGTGATTGGAGGAGCTGTGTTTGTGTCCGTTGGTCCGACTCGCTCCTCGTCCACTGACCCCACCTCCTCCTTTTGACAACATCCCTCTCCTCTTGTCCTCGCTCCAGCTATTGGCTCGCGGGTACTCCCCCTTTCCTCCTCCTCCACTGCCTTCACCTCCTCCGCTACCTCCCTCCATCAACACCTGGATCTCTGTCTTCCCTCCTCCCCCACCTTTCTCACTCCGTTCCCCTCCCTCCTTACCCCTGTCTCCGTGGTCCACAGCAGTCTGCCGGTGGAAGCGGGCACTCTTGCTGCGCTGGGTTGGCCGGGCAGGGGGAGGCGGGGTGTGAGGAGGCGAGGATGAAGGGGGGCTGAGGTCAGGGGTGGCAGCGTCGTTAGAGGGGTCGTCAGAGGCCACACTCTTCACGTAAAGATCGGGACTGTCGGCTGTGCCAGCGCTACTCGACAACCCCTCACCCTCCACCTCGCTGGACACCTGACGTTTGGGACGCTGCACCTCCATACCTACAAAAGACAGGACATCAGAAAGACAGTGGACATTTAGGGAGGAGGTGAAGCTGCACAGTCATCACAGAATACTACTTAAAACTTGTTTAAAAGTCTCAACAACACAATGAGTATCTGATATTTACATACATGTAATCTCAGTGGACTGTGGGTGGGGAGGAAGGTTAACTCTATTAAATGCATTTTTTTTTTACATTTTCTTTAAATTAAAATGAACTTCTATTTAACTTGTACAAGGACAAACAAATAAAAAAAATAAAAAAAGGTTGCAGGCATTGTAATGGGACATGTGAGTGTGATGCTGACGTGGGGAGAGAGAACACAACCTGCAGGTGTGACTCCACTCACAGGCACTTTCTCGTCTTCTGTGATGTTGGGAAATAAACCACTGATTTGCATACATATGATTTTTGTTTTATTTTAAGATTATTTGTCGGGAATTTTGCCTTCGTTCGACAGGAGAGACTGTTAGGATATTGATATGTGCCTCCACCAGAAGTCCACATGCAAATAATTTCAGTAGAAAGGGGCTGTGCAAAAAATGCTATGGTTGGGAGAGAAGTTAAAACTAACTTATATTTAATTTTATAAGAAAACAAGACAAAAGCAAGACCCCTTACAATATTAATATTTTCATTGGAACCCACATTTAATTAAAAAAACAAACAACAACAAAAAAAAAACACAATCTCTCACAGTCTCTTCGTTTTTATCTGCGATCAGATGCAACAGAAACTCTAGGGTAGAAGATGATGCCCGGGTTATCAACACAAATACAAAATGTCAGCACTGATGCTTGTTGACATAGATGTCCTCACAATAACACGGACAAACAGACAGCTGCTGAGAGCGGAAGAGATGGCAAAAGAACAATCACTGTCAACTCAGGTATGTGTGTGTGTGGGAGCGTACAGTACGTGTCATGAGGTCGGTGTATGCGAGTGTGCGTCAGGGTGCATGTTCTTGTGGGTTGGCTACCTGCGGTGCTGTATAGGTGTGAGTGACAAAGGCAGAAACTCAAAGCTGGAGGGTGGTTGGCACTGACCTTTATCACCAACCCACACACACATGTACACACACATGTACACACACATGTGTACACACACACACACACACACGTTATGTGTTTTGTTTGTTCACGCATGTGTACACACACGTGTTGTTGTGTGTCTGTCTGCTTGGTAGATTATGGACATGTGCTTCATATGGGTGTATACATGTGTGTGTGCTCACCATTTCCTGGGTGCTGGAAGGAAGGGGAGAACTGCTTGGCGGTGACCCGGGCCATACGACTCTCCTCCTGGGCTTTCTGAGCTGCTCCCACCGCTGCCTCTGATTTACCCTGTGCATGGGCCGTCCTGACACACAGACGACAGGGAGCAGAGCAGAACCAGTACGATAAATACAGCAAACTTTAACTTTTAACACTCAAAAATGAGAGAAGAATAGAAACAGAATCATTGGCTGTTCTGTCCAAAACTAATTCCTTTAAGAACTAAGGACAGTTGGTTGGAAGGAAGGAGGTAAAGAAGGGAATAGAAAACCATTGTCCGAAAATACTGTAGGTGAAAGAAAAAACAGGAACTGACCTTTGGGACAATAAAACTGCTCATAGTGCACCACAATGTTTCAGTTTTTCTCTGATAAAGAGGTATTTGGGGTTGAACCCTGGTTTATTCAATATGCACCAGACCCTCAGACCACAACCAGTTCACCTCCATATTCCTGTGATTGTTGCCCAAAGGGTGGGATACTTTCCGACGTGAACCCATTCCCAAGTTCAAGTTGAGCTAACTCAATGCAAATTAGAGAAGCGCATCTGTTGCTAGATTTACCGACTTTTCAGACCCCATCAGAAACTTTTTTCACTTTCTCTCTAGCAAATGTTTGGACAAACCTCGGCTACTTTCCACACAAGACAGTCACCAGTGTTGCCCCGCAAGTACCTCCCCTACATATAGCTGAAATCACAGCACGGCTGTTGCCTTTAACTTGTTTGTGTGTTTGGTGATTTTGATCGACGACGTCACGATTATAAAATCAGGATTTTATCGGTGCAGAGCAGCAGATTGGAAAGTCACTATTAGACAACAGAAACTGAACTGTATATTAAATTACTGTTTATGTGAGCACAGTGAGTAGGAGAGAAGCATTTATTAGGTTTTGACCCAGTCGTTACCTAGCAGGCCAGCTACGTAGAAAGATGACACTCTTAATCTCACCGACTAAGATCTGTTTCTCAAACCAGCACAAACAGCCATCAGTTAGCATCTCACAATGACTGAATTACTGAATCAATCTGAGATGTGAACACTGATTTAGTATCTATTTCTCATTCTCCTCAGTGGATAAATATTGACACACTCAGGACCTTTTCCTCTGTGATTAAAGAACTTAAATAATACATCTACAAACAATCACATCGTGGCTGGGCCCATATGAGGCATTTGTTTTCGGGCTATTGTTATTGAAAGAATATGCGGCTTCATTCATATTTGAGTTATCTCTTCTAATGCATCTTGTTACGGCTGACCGATCTCATTATAAAAGACACCTGAGTCAGGGTTAGAAACACACACACACACACACACACACACACACACACACAGCATGTGGGCATCTACATATTACATGATGCCTCACACAGTCGCAGGAGGGAGGACAATTACCACAGCACTGCCGTGTGATGAGGAGGCAGTATGTATTCATCTGTTTACAGGCACTGTCATCTTTTGCTTGGAAATGGGTTTACCATCAAAAAATAATTTATCTCTCTCTCTCTCTCTCTCTCTGCCTGAAGGGGTTTTCACATCTCCTCCATCTCTTTAACTGCTCCTTTACAGCCCCCTTTTCATATCTCTCTCATTCTTTCTTTTATTTCTGCCCATTTTCCTTTCTGCCTCTCCCTAATTGCTCCTTTCTTCTTCATCTCAATCCCCCCCTTTTCATCTGCCTCTCGTCCCACCCTCTCTTTCTTTCTCTCTGGCTATATCAAGTAGATCTTTTCTCTCAATTACAACCTTCTCCTCACCTCCGTCTCTCTCTTTCAATTCGTCTGTCTTTCTCTGTTTTTCCAGAGGGCTCTCGAGTCGCGTACAATAGCCTCTCCAGCCCTCCCTCCCCCTCTTCCTCGCTCCCTCTCGCTGGACAGTAACAGTCTTGATGCAGTGTTGCATGTCGATGGCTATTGATTTTTTCCTCTCTGCCTCTCTGTTTCTCTTTACCCCTCTCTGCACTCTCTGCCAACACTGCTATGCCAGGCCCACAGTATACTCAACACCGCCATGTGTGTGCGTGCACGCCTGTTGGTTGTGGGGGAGGTGAGGTGTAAGGAAGGAGAAGAAGAACTACCTTACTGTTTCACATGACACAATCACATGTAGATTTTTTTTTTTTTGTTGTTGTTTTTTTGTAGAAATGCAACATTTACAAGATTTAGGAATAAGATTTGTCAGGAATAAACTGCTTCCTGTGCTAATCTGGAACAACCTGCTCTCACCTTGGTACTCAACACAACACGAAAGACTCCTTTAATCTCTCTCTCTCTCTCTCTCGCCTCTCCCCTCCTCTCTCTCTCTCTCTCTCTCTCTCTCTCTCCCTCCTTCCCTCCACAACTTCCGAACCCACTCCCGTCTTCCCCAGGAACAACCTGTTTCTGGATGAATCAACTGCCTGGAGAGAAAAGAGCTGCCTGTTCAAAGGGGGCTCGATTATACAACACAACATCCTGTCCAAAAGAAAAAAGAGAAAGAGTTTGCAGAGGGAGGGCAAGAAGAGAGAAAAAAGAAAGAGAGATGGAGTGAGGTGATGAGGAGGGAGGGAGGGAGACAGGAGAGTGTGTGACAAAAGGAGAGGTACCGAGGGTGAGCATGTAATGCAGAGAGGCACGGGGAGATACTGAAAAGGAAGAAAGAAGACGGAGTTAAAAGGTGTTACATATGCAACATTAATGAATCATTACCAGATTAATTGTGAGACAGCGTAATTACAGCGGTGCCTCAAAGACTGACAACCTCTACATTAAAGCTAAAGGAGCGGAGGGAGGGACAAGCAGCAATGTCTTCTTTATGACAGGAAGGCGCTTGATAATAGCACTGACAGAGCTGCCTGTTGTTACTGCTATAGTTTCATATTGGCCTGGGATTTAATGAAGTATCAGCATATATCTACTTTCAATGTGTATCATGTTGATATGACAACATTATCATCATATAAAACTAATTATAAAACTGTAATTAAAAAGCAGCAAAATTTTTTTTTTTTTTTTACGTTTGAAAAGTTTTATTATAAGTGATTCTGCATTTATTTGCCATATTATGTTATCAAAAGTGGTTAAAGTGGTAAAATAGTCAATTAGTGGTGAAGTAATTAATTGATTTGCAATTTTGATAACTGTGTAGTCATTTAAATCCTCCATTAAGGCACAAATTCAAGAGCTTACAGCTTTGCTAGTGGTTCTGAGGCTTCGCATGGTGCTAAGATCGGCATGCTAACGTGCTCGTAGTGACAAAGCTAGCATGATTTTGTTTAGCGTGTATAATTTTAAACATGTTCACAGTTAATCTGTTGGCATGCTAACATTTGATAATTAGCACTAAACACAAAGTACAGTTGAGGCTGACGGGAATGTTATTAGTTTTGCAGGTATTTTGTCATTAAATAAAATATTGGACAAATTGAACTTTTGACCAAATGATTAGAGGAATCACCAAAAGTCTATAATAATAATAAACAACGGGTCTTCAATTTTACAAAGAAGTAAACAAAAGCTGGTTTCTCATTTCTAGCTGATGACTGGGAATATTGGCAGCTGAAATGATGAACACAGTACAAATGAAAACTGTGATTAATTGAACCCAGTTTGGATGCTTACTATAGCAAAACATTATTGGAAAAGCAACAAAGAGGTTAGAATTTTGCTTTTAAGGTTTGTATTTTCAAACAAAATGTTCCACTTTTACAAGAAAAAAGGTTTTGAGATTGAGGACTGACACGTGATTTTGCAAAGCTTACACTTATCTTGAGAAGCGCTGAACTCTGATAGCTCCTTAACTCTAGTAGCATCTGGTCTTCCACATGGATGTTCAAGGAGAAAAGGGGATTTTTCTAAAGTAATCCTTAGCTAACGATGTCTCTTTGGCTTTGAAAGTTATGCTAGGTTACTAGTGTAGGTTGTAAGCTAGCTGCCAGACATGCTAACGTTTAAAGCTTACTTTAGAGCAGGTAAATACACTGTTTCTTAAAATATGATCTTGTGTTTTGATTTGGTAAAGCTACAAACCAATTACACAATTCTCCAAACTCTTTACATACAGTGCATGACTCTTACCACAGCACCATTGCACATCGCATCAACGTGGAGAAATCCACAAAAAAGTCTGAGAGGTCTGCCGTGCCCAGTTACCTTAGCTGGGTTATGATCGGACAATTACTGTCTGGGGAAGGTGTTATGCAAAAGGTCAATTAAACTTAGGTATCACAATCACTCTGACAGAGGTATGTTGGTGATTAAAATGCTACATGTAGCACCTTTAAGAGGAAATGAGCAGGGATGCAATGGCCAAAAGGACGAGGGAGATAACAGGCCGCGAAGACGAGGAGAACCAAAACAAACACAAGATGAAAGAGATAGACAGAGGAAGACAACGTAGCACAACGAGGTGAGGGGAGGAGAGAGACAGGGAGATGAAAGTCTAATCCAGGACTCCTGCACTAAGCTCTTCCATCATGTCACTCTGAACCAGCTGATGATGATGAGGATGATTCATACCTGAATATCTAACAGAGCTTTCCGGTTTGCATCACAGCTAATAGTGTCTGCGTGTCTGCGTGTGTGTGTGTGTGTGTGTGTGTGTGTGCGCGTGTGTGTGTGTTGGGCTCTAGGCTTGCTGATGAAACGAGGTCACAGGATTGCAGTGAATGGCTCCATCCACAACGCACGGTGAGTCGTGTACTGTCTGGTACTTACTGCAGGTAGCCTGATGCCACATCAGTTACCTCAGCACCTGTGACAACGGTACAGTGATCATCAGCTGACCTCACACATGGTATCATACACATACATACAAATCCATGATTTACTGCAACATCAGGCAGGTGGACAGCTGACACACTGACATTTCTACCAGCTCCAGGGTTCTGCCCTGGAGTTGACCTTTGACCTCAGCCTCCTCGTGGCACGGACCACGCACATCATCCCCAAGAAGCTGGATGACTGTTCAGAAATGCTTTTTTTTTTTTTTTTTTAGGAACACACACACTGCAGGAAGTTAGAGAAAGAGCCGCATCATCCTTGAACCACTTTGCCACGGGGCTTTCATTTAGCTCCAAGAAAGAATATCTGCAGCAATTATCCTGT